CTCCTCCCAGGAAATTTCAAACCTTCATGGCCCATCAGAGCAATATATTAGCAATATAATAGTTCAATCAGTGAGACTTTTCTTATGTGAAAATGAGAGGCAGTTGTATTCAATGGCTTAAATTACAAGGACTTCATGCTTGGAAACTAATTCTAGGATGATTTAAAAACTTCAACTGACTCCAAAATCTGCTTTAGTGTCAGCCAGGTAGGATTATGACTCAGCAATACTGGGCCACTGTAGCACAAATAGACTGTTACACCTTCAGATCAGGGAAACTCAAGATAAACTTCAAAATAATTCTAATAGAAAGAGAAAGCCGTGCACGTGTAGCATTTTATTAACGTCTCTGAGATAGTGAAATGATTCAAATACAAATAATTTGTTGGAAACAAGCAGAATGGAACCAATTTACAGAGTACAGTAACGGCAGTTAGAATTTTGCACAGAAGCATTCTGCAAATAGCATCAGGAATCTTTTCACAACTATCTGAAACATTCATAACTTAGAGGTCAGTTGACCTGAAAGAATTTTCAGGTAATAATCAGCATGTTTTCCAAGATGGCAGGGGTAAGAATGACTTATTAATCAACGTAGTCTCCTGGAGGTTGTCATCATCACTTTCCAGGTTTACCTCAATTTTACTGAATTTCTTTTGGTCTCCCAGGAAAGTGATGTCGAGGGGCCAGGTCAAGACTTGATTGTCTGCAACTTGTGGGTCACACAGGCGTAATGGACATTTTTGGCCTTTGCTCATCCTTTTCATATGCTCGTCTCTAAGCAGTTCCAGAGATACAGCATTCCTCTAGCAATACACTGTCCTCAAGTGGGACTTCACCTGTTGAAGTCATGTGACAACAGTGCAAACATCAAACCAAGCTGATATAACAGGGATAGTAGGAACTGCAGATGCTGGAGAATCCGAGACAACAAGGTGCAGAGCTGGATGAACACAGCAGGCCAAGCAGCATCATAGGAGCAGAAAGGCTGACGTTTTGGGCCTAGACCCTTCATCAGAAGATATAACAGGATAACCTGCGGTGATGAGTAATTTTGGTTCTTACCTATCAGGGACTAGCAATTATATGGGGCAAATCTGAACAACCTTACTAACATTCTTCTTTACACTTTACTCTTAGCCTAGTTAAAAGAAACATACAGCATCTAAAAATGTTAAATTTTAATATTACCAACAGCACTTAAAGAAGCAAACCGTGAGATACTCTGAATAAAACAGCTACTTACAGCCCAACTAGGATGCTAAAAGGAGGTGGTAGACTTGTAAATTTGTGATGAACATTGGCAAAAGTATTGGTGCCATCAGCAGTGGCAGGAGTTGGGAAAGTAAGGGTTTCATTGTAATTGTGGTTACTGTATTAAGATTGGTTTACGTAACAGCTCTCAAGTTTCCACCTGTCAGTGATAACAGAAGAACAAACAACCCACTTTGCTTGGTTTTGTCAGAGATGTCTCCCATTTGAAATTTTAATCAACCTATCTCAAATGATAGTGGCCAATTAAACACCTTGTTGAAATCTGATTGAAATTTCTCAAGATAAATTGGGTATGAGGCCCTGGTGGTGCAGCCTACTAGAAGGCCTGCATTGAAGTCCCACCTGCTCCAGAGGTGTGTGTAATATATATGACCAGGCTGAACTTAAAGAAAAACTGTATTAGGATGGGCAAAGAGTGCTGGCCTTGACACGGATGCTCATGTCTCAAAGAATAGAGGAAACTTGTAATTCAGCAAGAACCAACTGCATTCCAGCGAAAAAATTTAACTCATTGTGTAATTGCTGACTTTCCATGTATCACGAGGCAAGTCCGTCCCTTCTTTGGCACTGCACAACTTTTTGACACATAGCTTCTACAAGTGATAAACCATCTCCAATTTCTCAGATCCTGACCTCATTACAGCCTTGGTCCAAACAGGGACAAAAAAGGTGAATTCTAAAGGTGAGGTGAAAGTGACTTTCCCTGACATCAAGGCTGCATTTGGCTGAGAGTGGTATCAAGCAGCCCCAGCAAAACTTCAGTCAATGGGAATAGTGGGAAAGTGCCATGTTGTATGCAGTCACACCTAGCATAAAAGAAGATGGCTGTGCTTGCTGGAGGTCAATCATCAACTCCAGGACATCTTAGCAAGAGTTCCCCAGGGTAGGCCCAACCATCTTCAGCTGCTGCATTAATGATCTTCCCTCCAAAATAAAATCAAAAATGAAGATATTCGCTGATAATTGCATAACGTTCAGCATCATTCATAACTCATCAGAAAATGCAGCAAGATCTGGACAATATACAGCTTGAGCCAACAAGTGCCCAACATTCATGCCACTTGTGCCAGGCAATGACCATCCTCCAATTAGAGAGCGTCTAACCATCATCCAATGAGATTCAGTGGCATTGCTATTATTGAATTCCCAATTATCAACACCCTAGGGGTGAATATTGAATATAAATTGAACTGGACCAACCATGCAAATACTGTGGCTACAAGAGCAGGTCAGAGTCTGGGACTTGTTTGGAGAAATCTTAACTCCTGTGTCCCCAAAGCTTGTCCATCAATCTTAAGCCAAAAGACAGGATTGTGGTGGAGCATTTTTGCCTGGTTGGGTGCAGCTCCAACAACAATCAAGAAATTCAACACCATCTAGGACATAGGAATCCACTTAACTGCTACTGCATCCATCACTTTCAATCTCCTTCACCACCAAAAAACAATGGCAGAATTTAGCAATTCACCAAGCCTCCTGTGACAGCACCTTCCAAACACACACGCTCCATCACTTTGAAGGACAATGACAGCAGGCGCAAGGGAATAGCACCAAATTCAGGTTTTCCTTCAAGCCAGTTACCATCTTGACCTGTACTATATTACTGTTGCTTCATTGTCATTGCCTCAAATTCCTCTAACTCCTTCCCTGACATTATTGAAGAAGCTTGTATCTTTTCCTTCAACTGTAGTAGTACCTTTATTTGTATAGCAAATAACACTTTTCTTTGATTCAAGAGAATTGACAAACATATTCAGTAACCAATTCCTCAGCATAACTGCTCTGGTATGGCAGTCAGCAAGGTCACCAAAATTCTTTTTCCAGTTCTGATCTGTAATAATGCTGCAGTGCAAGATGGATTCATATTCATTCCTGAAAGCCATGTTTTTGCACCTCTGAATGATTTCAATTTGCATAGGTGTACACTGTTATTCAAAAACAAAAACAAAAACAATCTGCCGGAACATGGCTCACCCAAAGTGCTTTGGTGATCGCCAAGTATTATTACTAGGTCTATAATGATGCCTCTGCCACGATAATTGTTGGGAATTTCCCTACCCAGCCTCTACAACACTTGCAACTCCACTCCTTAGCTTGCCAGGGACCATGTTTTTGTAAGCCATTACTGGTAGCCTAACCCTCTCCTGCCCACTGCACTTCACAGAAATAGCATGACATCGCGAACGAGGGAATGGAGTTATAGGCTCTCCGGAATCCTGGTCAAAATAGACCGTATACACTTTACAAAGGAAAAGAACCATTAACAATGATGTTTAAAAAATAGTGAGGAGGTTGAAAGTTTACAAATAGTCATTTGGTAATGTTGACCACAAGTATTGCTGGGAAAATAAAACATTTTGTCAAAGCTTTTTGCCCTACAGTCATCAGCACATTTGCTAGAGTACCAATGTATACTGCTCATATTTACACCTTTATACCTAACCCTTTGTTTAAATACAATTATCTTCTAGTGTATAAGAGTCCAAACACTTTTAGTGAGAGCAAAAACAAAGTTGCTGGAAAAGCTCAGCAGGTCTGGCAGCATCTGT